TCGACAATAACAGAAAGACAAAGTGACTTCGTAGGATTGTGGGAGGCGGTTGTGAAAACTATAAAGTACCACTTGCAGTCACCTTTATTGACAAACATGGATTTCAACATCATCATCTAACGTCGCACACGCAAATATAAGAATTGGATATTAGCATATCCTGATGTTTGTTTCGCCGCGCGGCACACACTGGTTACTGTCGCCATTTTGTATCAAGTCACATCTTGAGAGAACTGTACGGATGATCACTAGCATGCTACTTACCTACCCGCGGCAACGCTCTGACTCCAACATACGTTGATTTAAACAATTATGGCGATGATCTCGCAATTTTAAATATAAAAACGTCTATTGAAGGGACACTATTCGCCCAGCTGTGTACGAATGCTTAGTCTTTTCTCGATGCATGTTCCTTTTAATTAATCATTAATCTACATTTAATTTCTCTGATAGACAAAACAACGCAAAACTCTAAAAGAGATATTTTTGGAAAGAGACATTTGTAATTTGATGATTGGAATTTAAAAAACCGTACTTCACAGATCTAGTAGAAAAAAAATGATGTAGCAGTCAGAGCGCAACGCACACATGCCTACACACGCACACTAAGCCAAGCCACGCCGCTATCAACGAGAAACGAATAACAATTGTAAAATATTGCAGCTAATTCCGCTATAGAACGATTTCTTTGGCAACCTAATGTGTCACGCGCGCCTGCCTACCGCGCAAGGGGCACGAGGTCAGCATAGATAGAGCAATTTGTTATTTTTTTTAAGTTTTTCTTTTTCTGTTTAACTGGTATAGTCTTCTAAACTGTATTAAGCTCACCATTTGTACAAATTTTATCGTGTAAAAAAAAAGGATATATAAAATAACTGGTTTCAAAATTGACTTCTCGAACGACTGTATTATAATTTTCTTTTTATAACACAGAGGGCAAACGAGCATACGGCTCACCTGATGGTAAGTGACTACCGCAGGCAGGTAGATACACAAGTGACACATTAGGTCGTCCACCAGACGAGGGCTTGAAACAAACTGACAGTGCACACTTTACTCGCATTAGATATGAGCGACACACGACATCGTGAGACGTCACGTCAACTTGTAAAAGACGACAATAGCGACCGAAACTGTTAACGGATGTAATATAAAACAATAACTTACTAATATTCAATTTAGTGAGCGACGACAGTGGCGCAGCTACCTGAAGGCTAGACGGGGCACCGGCCCGGGCCCCCAAGCACAGGGGGATCTCACATTTTAACACATTTGGAATATAAATAAACCAGACTCAAGTAACGCGACTTTAATAATGGCAACTTATTTGATATCTGAAAAAAAAATACAGGGGAATTCCCAACAAGACTCCAACATCTTTGTAACTTGCGGGGAACTCCCCCGTATTCTTGGACTGGTTTATTTTTCGCCCCAGAGCTTTTAGCTACCAAGCAACGCCACTGGATAGCAAGACAAACAATTTAATTTTAAAGTTACACCTAATTAATACGCGTCAACACACACGGGTTATATTTCAATTTAATTAACTCTATTTATTTATTATAAAAAAATAAACTTATTTAAATTTAATTACACTAATTAATTATCAATTAAATTAAACCCGTATATTTAACGTGTACATAATTGAAATATAACTTTACAGATTGAGAATTTAATAATCGGTGTCACCCATCACCATCATCGTCGTCATCATCCAGGATGATATAATGAAACATATTTGCAAAGTGTGCGTTAACATCACAAGCCCGAATCTGCCACACCAGTATATTATTGCACATGCAACCCGTTCCCTCTCGCTGGACCGTAGCGAGGCGCGCGTCCTGCCCTACCAGCCACCGGCAATACGGATACCGCCCCGATAACTATATATTGGGTTCCTCTGCACATTGATGATGCTAAAAGTAATCATTCATATCGGTCGGATATCTATTTTCCAATATGTTAAAAGTCTGTTGTCCAATATTATTTTTTGAATAACAAACTTTTAACATATTCGTCATTGGACTAATATATAGATGAAATATATAGATATTACCATATATTACCTACCCTTAGTAATATTATTAATGTGGAAGTGTGTTTGTTTGTTACCTTACAGGCCATTAATGACTTGACCGATCACTATGTAGTTTAGTATACACGTACTATACGGGACGGGGAAGGATATAGGCTACTTTTTATTCCGGATAGCAAATATATCCAAATCACGCGAACGAAGTCGCAGGTTAATTCTAGTGTTTTAATAAAATATTTTATTTAAATTAGGTCCAATCATTAAATCACATTTAACAATGGGATTTATTAAAAATAAAACATAAATTAAAATAAAACATTGTTAATTAATTGATTACAATACAATGTTTTATTTTAATGAAAATGGTTGAATAATATTAATAAATAAATAAAATATTGTTAACTATTAAACAATATAAGATATAATACCTTCAAGGTAAGAAATAGTTATTTGTAGCAATGAAATCACTGACGATTGACCACTGGGAAGCGCACCGCATGCAGTGCTCAGTCAACGGTGTACACTAGTGTAACACGTCTCAGAAGTAAGACTAGAAATATATTAAAAAAAAAAAACATGGAATTTAAAAAATTCTATGGGCGATATGTTTCAGAGATAACTGAACGCGACAAAATCATGAAAAGCTTCGAAAGTACGAGGAGTCAAAATAAAAATAAAACACGTCATTAATTAATGGACGTCCCCAGAATACAAAATTAATATGGCCGCCGCGAACTGCCAACAACTTGAGAAATTTAACAAGTTTTTTTTTATTGTATTATAACGTCTAATTTGTTGTGAAGTAGTCGGCCAGTGCTTCCTTTATATTTTATATAATTTACCTATGAAAGTCTATAATTAAATGTACTTATAATGTGAACAGTATGTTGGCTTTTCCAATCATTTGAATATATATTGTTGGCGACAGACCTCCTTTCATACAAGTTTACCTTTTTTAGATTTATATTTTTATATTATGAATATGTCTTTGATACTTATTTTGTTTTTCTACTTGATTGACATATTATTGTTGTATTGTGTGCCTTTCTTAAGATAATATATTGGTAAGCCTCTCTCAAAAAGAGAGGCTTACCAATCTCTTCTACCAACGCCGTTTTTATATATATTCCTCAATTTTTTGACAGTTTGCGACGGCCATTTTTATTTTTTGTGGGGAAATCCATTAATAAATGAAGTGTTTTATTTTTAATTCGGTACAAGTGTACAAATAATTCCAAATAAAATAAATAAATAAAAATAATGCTCTGTCTACGCGTTTGTCACCTCGCTACCGGTCCAGCACACGCAAGGCCCCGTCCAAGTTAATTCTAAACTATTTCACATCGGGTACAGTGGGGGAACGACGCGTCGCTTACATCGTTTGTTCGTTCAATACAAGCGGACAGTTAAACAAATGCACAATAGTAATGTATAGTCGAGGAAATCACAAACATGTTTGGTGGCGATACGGGGGAACTCACCACTCCTCCTGGACCGCGGGCTGTGGGCGTGCAGACACAGGGTTGCCGCATGAAATATTTCAAGATTATAGTAGAATTTAGGTTCAAAAGTCGTCGTCCATTATCGGAAGTCCACATTGAAAGAAGGTTGTTTGAAGGAGGCCCACACAAAAAGGTGATAATAGTTAAATGCAGGTCGGTTGAAGGTTCACACCAAAAGGAGGCGGCGATTATCCGAAGATGTCCAGCAGGGTGGTGGTTTCTGAAGACGACGGCGGCCAAATCGCCACCAAACGCCACTCGCACACGCCTACCCACACTACACTATATGTATAGACACACAGAGCTAAGGCCGCGGACAACTATCAATATACACTTATATCTATTATTTATACGTTTGTGATTCGACCGGGACACGGTAACTCCGAAATTATACACCTACACAGACTTGGCGGTCTCTGCGTGTCGGCCGCTGCGCCACCAGAGGGCTCTCGTCTCTTGTTACGTCGTGGAATGGCAAACGAGCCGACCGGCTACCGGGGAAGGCAACCGTCGCCTATAACAAATAAAACTATGGACGTCACAGTGTACACTGTGACGCCTGTGGCAACCCTCACGCGCTGCAATGACAGCTGGGATATTATATTAGTGTTGCCTAATAACTAGTTCTCGATAAATCAATAATGTTAACCGAGAACAATCTAGAAATCGATAGGACTTAAAAATCTACAGATTTAATCGAGTCCAATTTGTTTAATATTTACCGTTAAATAATTCGTATTTAAGACTCGATAAATCATATATCACACTCAAAAATATTATTTCTCCCTATTTAATTACTAATACTGGCAACACAGTGCAATCAAAATGAGAACAGGTCTGCCCGTCCGCCATATTGTTACGTATTAGCTGACCGAATAAGATCAATAGTATCGTATTTCAATATTAATAGGTCATTGACATTCCTATTCTTATTTTGAATTTATTACAGATGCCGTTTCATATGTCTATTGTATTTACATTTTTTTTTAAGGCAAAGACAAACACGTGTACAGCCGACGGCGCGAGACACCGCCAAACCTCACACACTAAAGCGAAGAAATTATTAATAGAAATTGATATTTTGGCAATCGCACTCGAAGCGTCCTGGCACTTACACTACCGCACTAGACCTCATCGCCGTCACATAAGACTCATGTTCCCGTACCGCGCGGGAACTTGGTGTACACACCGCCTCCGCTCCATACATAATATTCATCATAAATTCACAGCGCCCTCTATAAAACTGTGTCGGTGTAGGAAGGTTTATATAAAGCTACATATAATGGGTTCATCTCTATACACAAGCTAATATGAACAGCATTCCCTCGGGTTAGAGACGGGATTTGTTTGCGTTACAATTTAAGGACACCGTACAATCAATATAAAACTCTAAATTCGTGTGAAAGAGACAACAATACGACGAGACGGAATGCTTCTGTAAGCCGGTTTCTTTATACAAATTATTGCTCGTAGCGGCGACGCGTGGTCGCCCAGACCCGTATACATAGAGACCAAGCTCCGTGCGCGGTAGTCCGGCCGCGTCCGGCCGCGTCCGGCCGCGGCCGCTAGACGTCCGGCGCGCAGGCGCGGCCGCCGGCGTCGAGTCACTCCGAGTTGCTGAAGTACTCGGACGCGTTCCCTCTGCATATCGGACACGTTCTGTTCGACTGCGGCGAGAGATCACACAACACGTGCATTAGTATGCGATATGTTAGACACGTATACATAGCTCGTTGGACTAAATGTATTGCGCGCAGTATCAAGTGTGCGCTGTGTAGTGTGTACAGTGTTCAGTGCATGGTCAAATGAGTTAACATGACAGGCGCCCCTGGGGAAATATTTGAAGGCGATCATAAATTATTAAAGATTGTGTCCCACAAAAAAAAACCCACTTTTTTATATCATTGAGATGGCAAACAAGCATACGGACCACCTGATGGTAAGCGGTTACCGTAGCCTATAGACATGAGCAGTACCATGGGCATAACAGAGTATACTGTTTCGCCCATGCGTTGCATTCCTGAAGATTAAAGTGTTATTCCTCCGTACCGTGTAAATTCATTGCCATATCCCTTCAAACGGAAACACAGCCATGCGAACACAACTGCTTCATGGTAGAAACACGAATGGGACAGAGGTGGCCGAGCAAACGACTTTTGTACAGTCTCCCTCTAATAAAGACTGTTGTACCGATAGGACAGGCAGCTGGATCCCTATCTAGTGGTATTAGATAATATTTCCCCGTATCTGCGGCACGTTCCGCTGTTCAGTCGAAACTTACAACGTCGAAATTGATGGGACTATATATCGGTGCGTGGTTTTTGGAGTTACTTGGACATCAATTGCTGTCTTGGCCCAAGATCGGTATTGAGTGTGACGTGTGGTAACAATATGTAGGACACCAGCGTGCAGTGCAGCGTGTGTACAGTGTGGTGTGGTGTGGTGTGGTGTGGTGTGGTGTGGCGTGGCGCGGCGTGGCGTGCAGTACTCACCCGCAGCCACTTGTCGACGCACTTGGCGTGGAACTCGTGCGCGCACGGCAGCACGCGCAGCGTCTGGCGCGCCTCGAACTCGCACATGCACACCACGCACGACGACTGCTCGCCTGCAAGCCGCACCACGCACGCGCGTTACATCTCCACTCATACAGCTCACTCGAGGGTAGCCACAGTTACGGAATCCAACATTGAATTGTAAGCAATAAATTTGTTTAAGCTGTTTCGGTGGTTCATGGGAGGCGGGTGCGAGTCACCTTGGTGCGTCTGCGGCGAGTACTTGTAGCTGGGCAGCAGGTCGATCTCCTGGCGCGCGAGGCCGCGCGGCTTGGCCTCGCCGAGCCGCTCGGCGAGCGACAGCAGCGCCTCGTAGTTCTCCGTCTCGGGCGAGTCGGGCGCCTCCTCGCCGCGCGCCTCCGCGTACGGCGACAGCGGGAACATCGCCAGCAGGTTCAGGAACACCTGCGCACGCAACCCGACGAAGGTTCGTAACGGCGGACGAGCCAACTGATAAGAAGTGGTAACCGTCACCGATACACATCAGCAACCTCACAGATGGACTATAGACTATAAGCTCTCATGCCCTCCCAAGACTAAATTGTTGTATCTGCAGATACGACATTAGAAATACCAGTAGTACAAATTCTCCCACTGATGGCTTCTGTTTAATCAGAATTAAAAATTAATAATTATTTATTCATGCAGGACAAAATTTTTTAACATAAACCTGTTAATTCTGTACAATTATTCAAGCTTCAAGGAACAATTCAATTATATAAACGAGTATTTCAGTAGCAGCCAAGTATTGATATAAAACTCGGCAGTTGTTGATGAGATTGTCGGCTAACCTGGTACGTGGGTGGAGGCGGCGGCGGCAGCGACAGCGGCGACGCGACGTGCAGCTGCTGCACGTGCGGCAGCGTGGCGCCCACCAGCCCGCCGCCGCCCTGCGAACACACGGCGGCGGTCAGTACACGGACACTACCAGCTCCCGCTCATAGTAGCACTGCTAGCTTACAGTAGCCACTCACAGGGCGTGATACTCACACACCATCAGTTAATACTCACCGCAACTCACGCAGCGCTGTTGGAAAACCAAGCAAGTGTCCACTGTGCGTAATACTCATACCATCAGTTCCAATTCACTGAAACGCTGCCAGCTGACAGTGGCCACCCACTATACATGATACTCATACACACCACAAGCACTCACTCACTGCAATGTGGCCAATTAACAATAACCATTCACTGTAACTAACTTTCAGCGTACACGCTGTCTGAGTGTTCACTGCTCATGCCACTCACACCAATAACTCCCATTTACTGTAGGGCTGTCAACTAACTGACAGTGGCCAATCATTGCACATGCTACTCAGCACACACCACTACCTCTCACTCACTGCAGTACGCCAGCTGACAGTGGCCACTCACTGTACATGCCACTCAGTACACGTCACAAGCTCCCATTCAGTATACCAATGCCAAATGACACAATGGTCACTTAATACACACACACAGCTGTAGCTCATACGCACTATAGTACTGACAAATAAAGACTGTCTTTCATAATGTCTCGCTTACAGCCGCCACGATTACTACGTACCTATAGTGCGAGTGTGTGCGAGTGTGCGCGCGTGTGTGTGGTGCAGGCGTGTATGTGCATGCTCACCTGCGTGTGTATGTGGTGTATGGGGTGGTGCGGCCAGCGCGCCGCGTGCCGCACGTAGGGCCGCGCGGCGCGCGACGCGGACCCCACCACGCCCACGCCCACGTTCACGCCGCCGCCCACGCCCACGCCCACACCCACGCCGCCGCCGCTGCGACGCTGCAAAGTTTGCATTCACCAATTCAACATTAGAACCGCGGCTCTACCGTAAAACGAAATTTCGAATTTTCGGATACAACTTCGTGTTTTCGTTCATACCGTATTAAATCCAGTCGTTTAGATTGCCTAAAGAAATCTTGTAATCACAGGACATTCCTTTGTCGTTCATTGAAAAGGACCTCCATACGTCAACGTCATTTCATAACATTTATTAACATTAAATGAGTGGTTACATCGAATAGTCAATTTGTCCACATAATTTTTAACGAAGTAGTTCCCTAATGCAGTTTATAAAGTCTTTTTTTTTTTATACAACTTAGAATGGCAAACAAGCCGACGTCCCACCTGATGGAAAGTGGTAACCGTCGCCTAGAGACATGAATTGAGTTGATTTTTTACTTTTACTCCGTAATAGATAAGAATAACGAAAAACCATTGATGCCCCGTATAAAATTTCCATTGAAACATTTTTTTTATTATTTGACATGTACACACAGTAAATGCGCATTTCTTAGCTATAAATACTACCATAAAAGTCCAAAGGAACGATATTTTAACATTTTAAATATTTGAAACGGCATGTACCACGTAATTTTAACATCACATTTCTGTTTCGTTCGGCCACGAAATTTCGAAAACCATTTCATGGTAGGCGACCAGGAAAATCGATGAATTGGACCCGTCGACTGTTTCTTTATATAATTGCCGGGTGAGCCTGAGTAGTGATATATGTACTCACGTGGTGATGATGCGTGAGGGCGTGCCGCGCGTGGTGCGGCATGAGGTCGAGCGGCGCACCCCGCGCCTGCGGACAACCGCGCACACACACACGCGCGCACTGTACACTCTGATCCCATAGAACTTAAAGAACCATAACCTAGTGTGAACTGCACGGACTCCTTCTGGTAACTCCTTACTAATATTATAATTTTTTTTTAGCTGTGTATGCTATTGGACGTAGATGGTCTTTACAGGGGCGAGTGCAGACGGCACTCCAAGCCCGCGAGAGGGAAGCGACGATTGGCGTCAGCTCTTTCTGATGGACTGCTAATATTATAAACGTAAAGGTAAATTTCTTTGTTATCTTATAGCACCTTGACAGCTTAACCAATCACTAGGAAATTTGGTACACGTACTTTGGAATAACGAAGGATAAAGGCTACTGTTTATCGCGGTCAATGAAAATGATCCGGTCACGAGGACTAATTTTTTTATACAACTTAAAATGGCAAACAAGCTGACGGCCCACCTGATGGAAAGTGGTTACCGTCGCCTATAGACATAAGCAGTATCATGGACATAACAGAGTATACTGTTTCGCCCATGATACCCCCCATGCGTTGCCATTCCTGAGGACTCAGGTGTTATTCCTCTGTATCCTGTAAATTTATTGCCATATCCCACCCTTCAAATTTTTCTGGTAAAAGTTGGTATATTATATATTGTATAGGTTACCTCGGTGGCGAGTAAGAGCGGCGCGTGGTGCAAGTCAGCGGCTGGCTGCAGCGGCGACAGGGTACCCTCCCCGCTGCCCAGCAGCTCTAGGCGGCCACCCTCGGCACGCTACCGATTAAATATGGTAATCAGTTTTTCGAAAATTCATTAATTGATTAAAAAAAAAAACAGGTTTCAAAATGTGGCAACTGTGAGTTCTTTTTTAACTAAGATTTCATTTATTTTGTAAGTTTTTTTTTATACATTCGTACTTCGAGCCGGATCGCATATTAAAATCATTTTATCTTTGAAAGCATAATAGAAATAGAAAAACATTTATTAACCATTTAACAATGCACGTACTTCAAGGAATACCGAATAATAGTGTAGAAGTCATATTAATTTTCTCTCTCAAAATGTTGGCATAATAATGTTGGTACATCGATTGATCATTTGGTCCTTCGACCGAAACCATAAATTTAAGGAAACACATTTGGTCCTTCGAGCCGGACCAAATAGTTAAAGCATTCATTTTTTCTATCTATTTCAACACCGTTAAATAATCCTTTTAACCATCAACTTTCACGTTCAAGCATACGCTTCCCCATAGACCACAATTAGGAAACTATCCTGAGCCATACGCATCCACGAACTCCACAGTACCATGTCATCTTCCAAATAATAAATAAAAAGTTCGTAACTGGACTCATACTTACCTGAGAGTTAGTAATGTAGTGCGTATGCGCATGGTGGGGGTGCGGCGGGTGCGGGGGGGACGCGAAGGGTCCGCGCGGCGGCGGGGGCGGCGCGAAGCTGCCGTGGTACTGCAGCCCCGCGTATACGCCGCCCATCTGTACACGCCGCTACGTCGTAGTGTGCGTATGGTACGCGAGTGTGCGTCAGTGTTAACTTTTCTTAAGAAGTTGCTAATACAAGTTACATATGGATAAAGTTCTCTGGCTCTAAGTGGCTCTTTTAATATATTTTTTTATTTACTAATTAACGAATAAGTTCAAATTATTGGATCTAATTAATGTTATCACAGAAATATGTATTAGTTTTAGCTATTAATTTTATAACAATAGGAACAAAATCTTCTAAATTCCAAGACAAATTTTGTCTAAATGGTTCCTGCAACTCAAATTATAAGTCTCACAGGATTTTAGCATCCAAATATATATAATCATTACTATATTTTTATTATGAATGTATTATAGTTTATTTTTTTTAAAGAATTTTTTTTTTAATTATTACAATTAACTCTGGCAGCTTATTTAAAACTAAAAAAAAATAATTGATTTCAAAAGAATTTGGACACTTGTATATTTGTATAATAAAAACAACTATTCCCAAACTTGATCAATATGTTTACTAATTACATTTATTTGATACGTGGCGACATCTATATTTCAAACACTGACGTACACTCCGTATTGAGTCAATATGAGAGTCGGATATATCAGTATTTGAGAGTTAGAAAAAAATATTATTATTTATACTTCTGCACTATGGATGACTTCTGTGTATTGATGTAAGAGACATTAATTACAAATAATTTTAAAAAGTATCCAATCTTTTTTTTTTTTATACAACTTAGAATGGCAAACAAGCTGACGGCCCACCTGATGGAAAGTGGTAACCGTTGCCTATAGACATGAGCAGTACCATGGACATAACAGAGTATACTGTTTCGCCCATGATACCCCTCATGCGTTGCCATTCCTGAGGACTCGGGTGTTATTTCTCTGTACCCTGTAAATTCACGCCATATCCCACCCTAAACCGAAACACAGCCATGCAAACACAACTGCTTCGTGTTTAAAACACGAATGGGACAGTGGTACCCAAGCAATCGACTTTTGTACAAAGTCTCCCTCATGCCTCGACACCTCGACTCGAGAGGAACGGATTACGTAGCAAATCAATCTATGACATGTTCACGGTATGACATACGATGCAGTCTCCCGGATGTGTTGATACCTATCAATCTTCACGCCAAGTCCACTGCGGGGTAGGCAGAAAGAACACAGCACTAAAAATACTGTATCGTTACATTTATTGTCTTGCTTATTCCCTGTATTGTATCATGCAAATAAAGTATACTCATTCATTCGATCAAAGACCAAAGAAACATCTGCTTCCTGCACACTGCGATTCCGGAGACGGTTCCTTTAGAAAGAACACGATCTACCTGATCACAACAGGTGCTCCAGGCCTCTGCCGCTACTTGCATCCATCCACACCCGCATTGTTTACCTGTTCTGTCAACCATCCATCTAGCATTCATTCCACATGCTCCAACTACCCTACAACGGGGGGAAAGGGGTTGTTAGTAATGGAGTCTAACTGACCCATTACTAGCAATACACCTTATCAGGTCGACCTCCACGCGGTTCCTCTCCTACCACCCTTCACTGGTGCCCCGCCAGCGTATACCGTTAGCGCAGGCGGGGTATTTTTAATACTTACATAATTTTTTTTTGTACATCAACAATTGATTTTCTATCATAATCAATTGTACAAGGAAGTCATCCAATAAGTAAATGCTGGTAACCGTTAGTGAGACATAGTTGCACGTTCAAACAGTGATATATCCCGCATAGTACGTATAATATATTAAATAAACATAAACCTGGACCAAAACATAAAATAGCGCGTTGCGTATCGGTAAGTCAAAGCAAGATTCTCGTCTCGTCCTTCAATATATATATATATATTATAATATATGGATATATATATATATATACGTATACTTGTGAGCGATATACATACACGCGAGCTAAATGGCCGCTGAAGTCAGAACTACTATTTCACAGTTGATTATTGCTTTTTTATTATTAGATATTATTATATATATATATATAAAAATGTTACATATTCGTTAGAGAATTGACTTGTATTAGAAAAGCATATGAAGCACATAAAGGGATTCGAACCCATAGTCAACCCTCACCAAATCCCGCCGGATTATCGTTGGAAATATTAATTCTGACAACAGCTTCTGTCCAGAGCAATAAATTGTTCAATATTGATATAAAATAAAACAATATGTTCATCAAACATCAATTGAAACATAAATAATACATATGAAAATAAATATTAAATATATCGTAATAAACACGTGTAACAATGATCAAGGATATATATTTATAAAAGCTATTACACAAACAATTATATCTACATAATACTGAAGGTGGTTGTGACGATGCATTTAATATAAAAATATATGAGTGTTCAACAAAAATATTTCGTAATTAATAGAACGAGAAAAAAACCTGGTGCTTGCTACTTGTATTAAGAAAAAAAAAATAACATAGCGCCCGGGTTAATACCGCACCCTTAGCACTCGAGTACTTAACGAAAAGTATTTGTTATTCACGTTGACATTAAAAAGAGCATCTTAAGAAACAGCCAAGTTCTAAATTAAAGCGACCAGCCAAATATTTTCTGTATCTTAATCTACAAAATACCAAAGCTCGAGTTGCTAGCGGCAAAATCTTAAATAAATAGTGTGGCGAGACTGGCAAAAGTCGAGTAGTGTGGTACGCGCCCCCAGTTGCCCCGGTCGATGACACCGCGGCGTCGCGCTGCCATTGGCCGGGGCGGCTATTACGGCGCGAACCACACAGGACGAAACTTCGCAGTCAGAAATTATTATACACGTAGAACACGGAACACATTCACAGGGTATTGAAAAGTGAGGAAAATCGCATGCGGTACACGAATAATAAAATATAGTTTTAAATGTGGGAGAGTTAGTCGACAAAAAATATTTGGAGGCTCGCTCTCGACCGGCTCTCGACTAATGAACTCTTTACGGCGGCCGGTTAGTTTTACATAAATAGAACAAAATGGCCGCCCGTTGTAAAGGGTCCGTGGACACTAGTGTCATCGCAGCGAACTAGACCAGTACACGGTACAGTATGTACAGAATCAAACAGTATGAGCTCGAGTGTTGCATGCTGTCACGCCGAGAACGGACGCCACGGACATTAGGCGTGGTGGCGTCAGAGCTACGGCACGGTCCGTTAAAAAAAAGTTGTGTATTTAAAAAAAAAAGAGTCGGTCCGGAAGTGTGAGATGAATAAAACATTAAACGAATGGTAGATCCATCATTACTGAGCGCATGACACTAAAAGCTATTGAAAATATCACATCATACGAGCCGACCAATCAGACGCGGGCTGTTTCTTGTGCGCGTCGCTCTGATTGGTCGCGATCACGTGGTATCTCTGTATCAGCCAATAGAATCAAACGCCCGCGCAGACATGTACCTATTGTCATCCAAGCACTGTGCAGACTGAGTCTATGTAATACATTTAATTAGGTAGATAACGCCGGGAGTAGAAAACATTGCAACAATAACTAGACCGTATTCAGATGACAAATCACAAAAGAGACATACGTCAAAATAAACCAGGTGCATCGTAAATTGTGTGTTTAGTATCGGATTTACAACTTTATATGTATGTATGGTATGATAGATCTGACATTGCAATGGTTTCCGCCCCCGCAACTGTAATATTACAAGTGATGCACACAGTTCTATGCAGCCACCACCTCGCTATGTCACACCGCGTCTAGCAGCTCTCGCAGTCCGCCTGGCTTCACCCCACGGCACGCACCGCAAAACAACGTCTATTATTACATCTTATGTCGAGTGACAGTTGAGTTGTTATCAAAAAATTAATAATGAAAAATATTACAAGAAACAAGGCAACAAACAAATACAGCAACAAATTTCCTTCTATTTAATACAACTTCCGATGAAATTAGAGGTAACTTAATAAAAAAATTGGATAATTAAATTTACTAGTGAGCTTCGATCAAACCCAGTAAATAGCTTTGTTACAAGCAACATATAAATAAAATAAAGCACGCATCAACATTAATATAACAATCATATAATTAAAAACTTAAAGATTTTAAATTTCTTATCGCATCTTTACAACTCAACTCGCCACTACTGCGGGCAATGTGGACTTTAGACGAGGGTAGAATTAATTTTGCGATGCGTGCTCTGGGCCACATTCACAGGAGCCAAGCTTCGATCACTAACATGACATGACAGGTGCTCGGTAGCGGATGTGTTTTGTCACAACTTGAAAAGAGTAGTGTCGGTCTGCCCCTCGGGGACCGAGCGCCGTGAGAGGACCCACAACTTACTGGATGCATTGTGTTCTTCACAATTTTTAATTTACAGATAAACAATCGACTGATGGAGGCTTATTATTTTTGCATTTACACCTTAATAAAGCGTGAACACTTGGAAATACTAAGTTTATTATCAAAATAATATTTATTGGTAATTTAATTCAACATTGTCTTCAAAATCAAGAAAAATGTTTCAAGAACAACAGCACGGCCTACCATTCTTACATAAAATAATATATATGCTTTAAAAAACGATTTCTACTTAGTTTTTGATTAATATATACAACAGCAATAAATTCACTGTTAAATTGAAATGCCAGAAGCATTTCAAACATACATATGTATATCAGTGTGCACGCTCTATCGTTGCTCTCAGTCCGAGAGTAATAAATGACAGAGAACTGACACAGTGTCGACCGAACATTAAAACAATACACCTTTGTTTTTTGATTGAAACTGTTTACAGCAAAGTAATGTTGAAGGAATAGAAGCGATAGGAACTCCCACGGCTACAGTTGATGACATTCCTCGGTTTTAACAGTATATGAACAGAAGTTAGTAGTCCCGCCCCGCAGTCACTATGTATCGGGCTCGGACACTGCCTAACGGACACGACTGTTCCACATTTCATTCGAATTTTCGCTTTCAGATTAGGAAACCAAGTGTCTTGACGTCTGGCAATGTCCGGTACATAAATAAACCTTATAGAAAACGAGCGTAGAATAACTATTGGTACGACTACGCGGCTGCACCGCAAGCTTACGCTGTAGATATCCCAATGTTATTGATACATTTAATATGTTTTCAATGTACATCTCGTGGAAATATATTTGCGCTGTGTAAAATTTAAAAGCAAATTAATAAACAATACGATGTCGTCCCAAATAACAATTAAATATTCGATTCTGCATTAATATTTGCATTTTGTGGAAGCGGCAGTGTTATTTACTTGCGTACGTCCTGCGTAGTTAGAGATGGCATGATTTGTTGGTTTATTAAATCCGTTAACAATGCTTATACATGTATTTGCAAAAAAATTAAATTGAATATTTGTTTGCGATGTGCGCGCACTGCAGTTGACAACGAGGTTATAAAGTGTGACGGTGGCGTCATGATTTGAGCCATATCAACATCGTGCACAAATATTAAATTTAATTTTCTCTAGTTGACGTGAACATTTTTCGTGTACAAATAAGCATCTCTAATAATATTTAAGAAAAAAATGCGAATAAAACTGACAATTGCGGAGAACGTTGAAACAAAAGAAAGGTAATCAATCAGGTGGAGGTGGTCAATAAAATTAGAGATATCTACAGTCCACAGTACGAGTACTTATACAAGCCACATTTATTGTAATCAAATAGAACTAGACCTTCCTCACCAGTTTTCACAAACTTTAATCTGGGCATGCATATATTGTGCTCAAGTCGACAATAACTCGTGTACCCGGCTACTTAGGAACATCGATGCCACCAACTATTGTTAAGCTGTGTTGGGTCGCCTCCATAACGTCGCGTGCCGTGATATTGTAGCTTTAGAAGCCGAAAGTTTAGTAAGGTTTCTCACAGGTCATTCTCTTATGGCGACTGTTAAGTTTTAGTCACTAGTACCTAAAAGGCTGAATTCTTTGTACAGCCAAGTTCAATCGTAATACAAAACACAATATTAATGTAATATACATTGTAACTGAGAGTACACAATGATATTGATAAAAATAATTAGGGAACTTAAAATTCAGCCTCTTAGATAAAGTTAATCTAACGCTACGATGGATTACAAACTTAGTTTAATATGGCACTTGTGAAGAAACTTTGAGAAAATATTATAAAAGATTCAATATTAGAACGATTGCGTATAATAGTGTAAGTGTAGCTACAACATTCAAGGCACGCCAGATTTTACACTCAGGACTTGACAAGGCATCGTTTAATGTCACTACATTAGAGCATTGTTTAAAGAGGATTCGGAGACAAAAAACGATCCTTCTAAAATCTTGACCAATTATTAAAACACTAATAAAACAGCGATAAGTCAGCGCAAATGTAACAATCCAACTTTGAGACAACGACGGGAAGAGTGAACTAAGCGAACAAACGCACCAAAAACCTAAAGCTGTAACTAGGACCAAACCACATAACAAGGGACCCTGTAGTGAGTCATCCAAACCATTAGTCATCAAGCAATAATTTAAGTGAGATAGCATCGTAAAGTTAAATAATTAGTTAAGAGACGGTATGATGAAACTCACGGCAGAGCAAGTCGACTACGGACCTCGACAAAGGTTACTATCAAATACAAGTCGGAAAGCCAGAGGTCCAGCCATGTCATAAATTAGTTACAAAAACCTTGTTTAAGTATTAATATAGCGTTATATGGGCTAGAGTGCGCCGAACAATCACTAACGAGTCGGGAGAAGCTTTAGCGGATAACATCACTCGCTCGGTACTGGTATACCTGGACGATAGTGCTCAGACAAGTCTCAGTGGGCATGCACGCCATAACACCAAATAACCTGGGTTGGTGATAACGGGAGCTCCGTTACGGATCGTTCATGCCTTTACATGCTTTAGTAGTCGAAGCGAATCACTTTAATGAAGGATTATATCACTTGTTACGAAATAAGTTAGGTTCGTCTTCAGATTTATCAAGCAAATCCAAATACATTCTTTCTTTAAATGTATAAGTAGTTAAGAAATTAATATACTAAACAATTCTAAAGTAACTTAGATAAGTAAACAAATTGTACGATCTCTCCATGACATCGTTTAAATATTTTGAATTGATTCTGTAAATGTTCTATTCTTGAAAAGGCGTTGCATTGCATCTAATTTTTCTTTTGAATCTGACAAACGTGAAGACGTTAAATTAGCATGAAGAACCGGTGGAGCGACGGAAACAGCGGGGCGGGGAGGGGGAAGGGGGGAGAGGAAAAAAGTTGAGAAAGGAGCACACACACATACATAGTTGCCGCAAATACCACAGCACATATAAAAATTGAACATATCGTATTTTCTACTCATTTTCATGTTACAAAAGTTACTGATACTAAACACTCTTCGACACTGAATTCTTTCGAATATATCACCTGTTTTATCAAATTCTTTGAGTTTTTTATCAATTTTAAATAGGAAATCTGAATCAAAATTTACATTTCATAAATAGATTCTTTCGAGCTTACTTTTGGCAAAAAAAAAATTAAGGTAAAGTAGTTGCAGCACCTATCTTAAGCATCATTCAGACAGCTCTGAATCAGGGACTTCAGCGTTCCAAACCATAGGGGCTTTGTATTTCGTCAAAAATGAGCGCCCCGTTACTCAGAGGTTTGGTTACTATTTTACTTATTGCGGTGTCCTTGCTCTAATATCGCATTTTCTCTTATCAATTTTCACACACACATTTCAATTGAACACACTTCAGGAGAATGAGAGCCCGGATGTACTATACAAGGGGCGTGTCCCTGGCGAGCTGTGTGAATGTCGCCTGTGTGCAGTCGGGGAGCGGTGGGAGCGGTGGGAGCGGTGGGAGCGGTGGTGGCGGTGGTGGCGGTGGTGGCGGTGGTGGCGGTGGCGGTACCTGGTAGCGCAGGTGCGGCAGCGCGGGCAGCACGGCGGCGGCGGCGCCCCACACGTCGGCGGCCGGCACCGCGCCCGCCACCTGCACCGCGCCCGCAGCGCCGCCCGCCGGCGACCACTACCCGCCGCCCGCGGCCCACGTTAGCATCATCGCGCACACGCACGCGCACGCGCTCCACATCCATCATATACTTCCTAGATTACTCACCTCGCCTCACCGCTACAATACTGAGTTCGGCTTTTATACTATCCAAGATAAACTACGTCAGACCAACAATCGTCTAAGCAAGTATATTATTTTTATATATAAAAAAAAAAAACTAATATGAAATCAATAATTTGGTATCGCAATCCAGAAAAGCCAAACCGAACTAATGAAGAAAGCATAGTTCGAAATTTAAACGTTGCATCCTTTACACTTTGAATTATGTTTAAGAACGGATTCGGAACGGAAATATAAAAGGCCTGCGATGAATTCATCTAGGAATTATATGAAGAATCTCGGCGTAAGACAAACACTAGAACAGTAGTGGTCGCCCCTTCACTTAATACTAACTTACAATCAATCATCACTTAGACGACCTAAGTTGACAATATTAACTCCACTTACTTAGCCTCCTAGTTACATATGCTATGCCCAGATTGACAATCGTAATACCTAAGAATTTTCCTAAAAATGTTTTCACTTACAAATAATAAATGATAAATGCACAAACAAAATCGCAAATTTGGGCACAAAAATGTATGACATATGAAATAATATCAATCAAGTCGGAAGTAAACGCAATCGTTTTGAACTATATGATGCATTTTCTTCTTTATATATATAAAAAAAAAATACAGATAGAAGGCAGAATGAGGCGTCCAAATATTTTATTCTTATTTCTTGTATCACTTTTTTTTTGTGTACTTTGAAGCAATCGGGCAACATTCGCCTTCCATCCGTCGTATCAACTATCAAACACTTGTTGCTGATGTATTGGTGTAAATATGTATATCTGGCTAAAGTTGTTTGTATCGTGTGTATATTCTTATGTGTGAACATTTGAAAAAAGAACATAAATTTGTTTTATAATACCTGCAACATGTAATCGTAATCCGTAATTCACTAAACACAGTGGAAATCAATATTAAAATAGTTTTCCCCTCGGCTGATGTAAAATGACAATAAATAATTATGCATTTAACGATATACTGTTGTACATTTATATTTGTGTATTTTTAACTATACATTTTGGTATACAAACATTAAAACGATTACTTAAGCACCAGGGAAATCAGAATGTTACCAAGTTTAAATTTGTATAAAAAACCCGTTATGTCGTCTATATATATAATATGGCAGCAAGAATGTAAAATAGTGATTTCCTAATAAATTCAAATAATTATTCAATTGACTGTCGCGTGATACCGAAATACATAAAACATTATAAAAAGGACATATATAATACGAGTCTTTCTAGTAAAATCTGAGCAGTTCTTCCGTATTGGTATTTGATGGAAATCCCGACTCGAATCCATGAAGGAAATTTAAAAACTTCCATATTTCAAGTATTTACTATTGATTAATTGATACTATAGATCAGATCTATTGGACGATTCCTACTATTCTAGGATTCAACAATTACTTTAATATAAAAAAGTTTCATACTATTATTTTTTATAATTCCTTGTATTTTTCACAGTAGTGTCGCGATTCCTACCAATCTGTGTGCTGTAATCGAGCTATTTATATTGTAACCTTAGCGAGGAGTGTATCGGACCCGCGAGACATACCTGCGTCCGCTGCGGGTGGTCGCGGTGCGTGTGCGCGGGGTGCGGGTGCGGGTGCGCGGGGTGCGGGGGGTGCGGGTGCGGGTGCGGGTGCGGCCACACGCCCGCGCCGCTCAGGGCGCTCAGTCGAGCGCCGCGCAGCGACATCTGTGGAGTCAAATAAACAAATATTATAGATATGTATTTGTATCGCCTATAAACAATTAACTAGCTAGATACTTTCATGAACTTATTTTGTACTATTTCGAAGGTGGTAACAAGCGTGGCGCGTGCGCTACCTGGTTGATGTCGAGCAGCAGCGGCGTGTGGTGCGCGTGCGGCACGTGCGGCGCGTCCAGCAGCCGCTCGTGCCACACGCCGCCGCCTCCGCCCGCGCCGCCGCCTCCGCCGCCGCCACCGCCGCCGCCCACGTACCGCATGCGCCGCCTGCAAGCGAACACACGCCCTTTACAATACACGACAGGTGCTGGTAGTAAACCAGCCACCACCCACCTGATGGAACGCAGTAGATGGAAGACATTGCTAGCATTGCGATCTATTAGCACCTACCCATTGCTAGCTATTGCTAGCAATGGGTATATTTACCCTGTCAGGTCGATCTCTACATTATTTCCCCTGGAAACCATCGTGTGGAATTCCTGGTGTATTCATCACGATGGCCTAACTGACCTGCCCTTTCATTCTCACCTATCACCTCTCATTGGTGCCCCGTCAACGTATACCATTAACGCGGGTGGATCTACAATTCCATTAACATCTATAAAAAAAAAATGGGAAGCGGTAACTGTCGTTTAAGAACGTGAAGAGCTCTATGGACGTCACTGAATACATTATGACGCCCATGCATTGTCACTCGTGAGCACTGAGATGTTATGTACTTCGTACCACATAATAATTTCACTGCCACATCTTACCTGTCACTCAGCAGGCATGCAAGCATAGCTACTTTGCAGTCAATATTTCTACAAAATCTCCCTTTACTTTTGGGAAGTTTTAGGTAAAAAAAACTGCGTAAACCACTGCGTATTTTGAACCTACAATATTACGCCTCTGTGAACATATGTGAGTATTAGAAGCGAGAAATAAGATTATTTACATATCCTGGAATGGCAAACAAGATGACGATCAACTTAACGGAGTAATGACATTGACATGAACAGTACTATGTACCTGTAACGTCTCATGGCACTCCTCATGATTTGCCATTCCTAAGGATTAAAGGAAGGTATAGTGAACTCACGGCGGCTGGTAGTGGTGGCGCGGCGTGCGGCGCTCCACCGCCGGCGCCGCCACCGACACGTTGCTTTCACCTGGAACACGACGCAGTCACCACGTTACGTATTTGTCTTTACATTAATCACTCACGGGGGAGGGGGGGGGGAAGATATATTAATAAGCTGTCAGATTGTGCTGCACCTCCACGCGGGCACCTTGAAAATCATCGAGCTTGATTCCGGGTGAATTCGAACTGATTTCCTCCCAACTATCATCATATAACCCTCAAGAAAAGAGCATATTCCTTTTTAAAAGGCCGGCAGCACACCTGCAATGCCGTTGTGTTGTGGGTAATCATGGGCGGCGGTAGTCACTTACCATCAGGTGAGCCGCATGCTCGTTTGCCCCCTGTGTTGTAAAAAAATCCATCACTGGTGACCTACCATGAATAAAGGCAGGTGCATGATTCCATCTTCCAACATTAAAAAAAGCTCTTACACTGTGGACAGACGCAACAGACACCTTGCGTGCAACTTAGAATGAAGTCTAATGGTAAGTGGTAACCGTCGACTATAGAGAAGCATAGTCCCGGTAGCACCGTCAACACCGCAGCGTGCACGGCGCCCCTGACGCGTTGCCATACCATACTCTTGTAATTTACTATTACTACCATTTCCCACCCTCTATTTAGAAGCCAGTTTTTTTGGCCAAATCAAGGCAGTATATAACAGGGTTGCTAGATGCAGTTTTTTATTTTTTTTATTTACCCAAATATCAAATATTTTTTCTCCAACTCGATACAATTTTTACCCAATAACATACTTAATACGATTTTCACTACGTTTTGCTCTTCCTATTTTGTATTTATCCTTTTTTTTATGCAACTTAGAATAGCAAACAAGCTGACGGCCCACCTGATGTAAAATGGTAACCGTCGCCTATAGACATGAGCAGTACCGTGGACATAACAGAGTATACTGTTTCGGCCATGATACCCCCCATGCGTTGCCATATGTTCCTAATATATGTGTAGCGACCATTATTAGTATATTTTATTGTATTTATATATTTGTAGTTATTTATATATTACTGCATCGTTTATAAATACAAAAACTACCAAAAATATAACCTGAATTTCTCCAAGCCCATTTCACTTTTCTTTAAACATTTCTCCAAGATTTCGCGAACAGAAACGAATTTTACCCAAAATTGCGCAACAAATATCGAACCTGGCAACCCCGCCACACCGCTCAGGCCACCAGATAAATAATAATTTATTGACATTACGAAATAGACTGCGCGATGAGCACCCAGTTGGTGATATCACCGAAAGAAGAGCGCATTACGTCACATCCTGCTCTATCTTTACATACAGTACACATTTACGCATATTTGTTTTATTTATTCATAAGAATACAAGTTGCTTGTCGTTATATCATTCTCCCATTCCCGTAATCTTCGAACATCTCACAATCTCATGTTTTATTGTGCAATAAAGAATAAATAAATAAACATCACTAGCGATCCGGCCCGGCTTCGGGCGGGCAGATAGAATTGCCGAAAATAATATAAAACTCTCTGTCAATGGTAAAAATAAATGATCAAATTTTAGATGGAGAAAGCTCGACTAGTTTCATTCACTAAATTGTCTTTAATACATTTTGCCTTTCCTTCAGGGTCCATATAGTCACACTGAAATTTTTCCCTCATATCTACACGTGTATCTGACCTGTCCAGCCCACGTCATCACCTCACATGGCACCTGAACCCTGTCACGACATTCGCTGAAGCCTTACCCGAGGACAGGTGCCTGGAGATCCGCCTCCGCTTCCTGCTGGGGCTGTCGCCCGCCTTGGACGACAGCTCGCCGTCCGAGGAGCCCGCCCCGCTCACCATCGACTCCACCGAGCCCTCCAGCGGGTTGGTGTCCTGCAAACAGAGTTAACGATATTTTTTAAGAGTACACCTAAAGGGCATCTTGTATCATTATGAACATATATTTATTCATCTATATGTGTAGGTATATTATATATGTGTGTATGTATGTGTGTGTAAGTATATATTTATGTCTATGTTATGTACAAACTTAAGTTTAAGACAGAAGGGGAAACAATGTTGGGACACTTGATACGACATGACGAACTTATGAACATTATAATAGAAGATAGAAGGAAGGAGGGGAAGGGAGAGACCGAGACATAGTTACATCAGGCAGATCAAGGAAGCAGTTGGTGTCGTGTCGTAACAAGAGGTGAGGGGACTCGCTGACAATCGTAGTGAGCGGCAAGAGCTCCACCGACAAGAGAGCAGCTCTTAAATAGAATAGATAAACTTAAGTTAGTCTAGTTCATCAATGTTTTTCAAATCAAATGTTTTTCAATGTTTTTCATGACGCGACCCCCTTATTATGTATAAATATATTGCGACCCCCCTACCCTCCACAGTTTCGAATGTGTATGAATTTTATTACAGTACAATTATGAAATCCGTACAGTTGTATTTATATTCACAGTTAGGTATCGATAAAATAAAATAAATAATACATAATAAAGTATTTAAAACAGACATGTAATCGATGTCTGTTATAGACACTTCATTATGTATTATTGATTGATCGATTTATTTAAGGAACTGTTGATCTTTCACTGCTTCGCGACCTTCCACGACCCCTTTGTAGAGGCTCGGGGACCCCCCAAGGGGACGCGACCCACACTTTGAAAAACACTAGTTCTTTTTGTTTGAAAATCGTCTCAATATTGATGCTCCTTTTCACTTTGGCTGTTGCTGGAAGAGAACTCTATCAGAGTTAAGCTCGCCTTTGTACATTTGCTTACCTCTGACATATTTTTATCCTACCAAACAGCTGTGCTCGCACGATTGTGTTACAGTTTGAAGGGTGCGATAAGAAGTATGGAATAATCATGCACGTTTAATGCTGTAATTTCTGTCAATAATCGGCAACTGGAGGCACTCACCAGATGGTGATGGTGCGGAGCGTGGTTCATGTGCGGCGGCTCCGCCGACGGGCCGGCGCCCGCGCCGGGACTCATGCGCATGTCTGGAAAGGAAACGTACAGTGTTAGCTGTCACGCTCGCACGGCGCCACCGCGATGGGGACAAATATATAAAACAATAAATAATAATAATAATGTGTTTTATTTCTCTTCACATAAACACTAGATTGCCCACGTTAACAGGGCACGCCCCCCCCCCCCCTCCAACTGTTCCACTGCGTGCGCCCGTATACAAAGGCGGCGCCCTGTTTTTGCTCAGGGGAGAGGTCTCCAGCAGCGGCCCGGCTGGGGGACGGTTGTATCCCCTGATGGAAACCTTGCAAATATATATACTCACACATTTTTAATTCTTTTGCATTGTGGAGGGGCGTGCCATGCTCTAGTCCACTATCGACATCAAATTACTATACTAATTGAATATTATAATACTAATACCTCGTTGACTGATACGTTAATACTAATGGTAGGGAAATGGGGAGAAAGGGATTGTTAGGAATGAAGATTGACACCCCTACTGATAGCATTATACCCTATTAGGTCGACCTCCACGTGGTTCCCCCTGGAAACCATCGTGAACAATTCTTATTGAATTCGTCACGATGGGCTAACTGACTTGCTTCATCCTCACCTATCATCCTTCACTGGTGCCCCGCCGGTGTATACCGATAGCGCGGGTGGGGTTACCATTCCATTATCACCCATTAAAAAAAAATGGTAGGAAAATTAAACAAAACAATTCTATTCAACTCAACAAAATGGCGGAGGGATGGGCAGCACCGTCCCTCATAAAGCATCGCCAGCCTAACTGCGGTTGCCATCCCGCCTGCCAAGCACGGCAACTACTGGAAATCATCGTGCTGAATTCCAGGTATATTCATTACGATGGGCCAACTGACCTGACCTGCTTTCATTCTCACCTCTCATCCCTCATTAGTGCCCCATCAGTATATATCGTTCCAGTTCTTCCCGCAGGAATGGAAAGGTAACTCCCATTCCATTATTATCCCACAAAAAGAAGACCTTCGTGCTGCAGTCAGGGGCACACTGCTCGGCATAAATAAGGCCCCGGGGATTTGATTCCCGATCGGGTTAATTTAGGAAATGAACGTTTCTGAATTGGCCCTAGTCTGGGTGTTATTGTGGGCTGCTGTGCCCCCAGATATTTGTCGTCCGGTCCCTCATAATACATGATATCCTAGATCGAGGATCAAGCGATTGGCAGTACGAATTATCACTGCATGCAACCTAATTTCTACTCTGTCAATTTGTAACACCGTTGCAAATGGGTCAACATCTGGCCAGTCGGCGCTTGGTGCATGCCGCCCACACAAGCTCTATCACCTGTCTCTTTCACGCTCACTTTCCGACGCTAAGAGAGAGCGAGACAAAAAAAGCAAATGAATTAACGGCTTAGCTGTCACTTTCAAACTGTAATGATAAGTGATAATAAATTGAACTTTTTCATTCGTATTTCTGTCAATCAGATATATTTACAAGGCTGTGTTTCGGTTCGAAGGGTACGATATGGTAAGTACAAAAGTTTACAGGGTACGGAAGCAAAACACCATAATTTGGAGGTAAAGAGATTGTTAGTAGTGGGATCTAACAGGCTCATGGCTAGCAATTTGCCCTATCAGGTGGACTCGTCGAACATAGCCTCTCCCATAAGGGGAGTTTTGCCAGTAGTTGACACGCTTGGCAGGAAGGTTGGCGATCGCAGTTTGGCTTTTGGAGATGTTTTAAGAAGGACGCTGCTGTCCATCCCTCGTCCTCTCTTAGTCGCCTCTTACACCCACGGGAAAGGAAGAGGTGACCTATTCTATGCCGGGACCTACACGACTAATCAGAAACTAATGAAAATATTCAATGGGTTTTTATTTCAACTACTGTTGGACATCAGCAGACTGTTTTATAAAGATTTTTTTCTTTTTTTAATTATTGTAACCAGGATCCAATATTTTTATATTTTACAAATTATTACAACTATAATTATAGTTCTGGTCTTTTAACATGCAACGCCAAACAATGCACACCTAATTGCCAAAATGGCCAGGACGCAGTTAGGGCTGGCCAGCACTCTGCAGAGCAGGGACGCAGATCGTCTACCAATAATGGTGTAGAGACAATGCACATGCATTGCCGCAAACATTCTTTTGGGCGAATTGATCATTCGTTTGTTTACATGTTTATTTAGTTGGGCTGGTACAGGACATACGCTATTGCTTATACGCGGACCAAGTCGCGGGCAAAAGCCAACCTAGTTAAATAAGCCGAAACAGTATAGAGCGGAGCGAAGTGGACTTTCCCTGCAAACTCATTACGCTCGTTTTCGCCGGTTGCGTAACCCCGCGAGAGCCGGCGAGCACGGCGCGGCGGCCGGCGCGCGCGCATGCCGCCGCCGAGCGGAATGAAAGCGAAATGATTCCGATACCTAACTTGTTGCATTTCACTTGCAGTGTACAGTACGGCTTTTTTAATGTGTGATAGTAGAACAGTAGCCCCGCCTGATGATGGATGAAAGAATTACGACATTTAACGAGCACGAATGAATGGAGATGTCGGTACGGGCCGCTCTAGTCGGGCATATGTCTACCAAACAAGCGACATGCTGAAGGGCCAAATTAAAAGTACCCGTAACCGGCGAGTGTGTGTGAAAAAGATTGATGAATGTGGAGGAAGCGAAAGAGGTTTGTTTTAAATCGGAGCATTTGGCGTTCCATTGTTTCTGCCTACACCAACGGCAGACAGGCGTGACGGATATATGTATATTTTGTTTATACGAGAGTCGTGATTTTGAAGCGTGAAAAGTGACGGACATGAATCATTTTTGTGTTGTAACTTAAATGACCGATTAACCTTCCGACGATGGAAAACACTATTAACAAATCAAATAAATCCAAGACACGGCGGTAGTCTCACTCCTCGTTAATTAGATACATGCTCGGCGTAAAATGGGCATTTAACAAACATCGCAAGAGCAGCATTCAACAACGGCATTTTTTAATTGGGATGTAAATGGAATGTTCACCCAGCCTGCACTATCAGTAACAGTGGGCGATGATAGGTAAAGAATAAACAGGTCAATTGCCTTATAGCAAACAAATACATCAAGAATTGACCACGATGGTTTCTGGGGGGGGGGGGGGGGGGTCTGGGCTTCTCCATTATTAGTACTATATCCTGTCAGATCTTCAACTCGATTCCCGTGAAAACACAATGACTGACTTCTAGGGAATTCATCACGATGGTTCAACTGATATGCTATGGAAGCCCCTCAATTCTTATCACTCCTCACCGGCACTCCGTCAGCGCACACTGATAGCACAGGCGGGGTTACCATTCCCTTGTTATCTCTTTAGGCATTTGTAATGGCGACACATTATCCTAATCAGATATCACACGAATGGTTGTGTATGACGATAAAAAAAGGGGCGAGTACAAAAGATCGTGGAAAGGTCGCAGGCTTTTCTGTCTGAAAAAAGCCCTGTCTTTCAATTTATAATAATAATAATGTATGACGTGGGCTAGTACCTGATCTCCGTCGTTCGGAGGGGCCGGCGGCGCGGCGCTCGGCGCGGCGCGAGCCGCCTGCACCGCCCCCTGCCGACGTCAATGGGCACCGATTACATTATAATATCGTGCACTATGTATTGTTTAAATATAGATCGATTCATTAGTTTCTTTATCTTAAACTAGCTCTTTGCCCGCAAACTCGCTCGCGTGCATTTAAAAATGGAAAATCTACACCTGTATACACTAGATTTAAAGTTAAAGCTTCAGGGATACAGCTGTGTAAACCGCATTTAATTTGGTGCAGAAGTTTTTGCGTAATGGCGGAACAAACATACAGATGGGCAGAGAAAATTCCAAAAAATGTTGTTTTAGCCTCTTAAGTACCTTTATATCAACAATATACATGAGGTAACAAAAAAATACAACCGAATTGAGAGAACCACGTTCTTTTTCAAAATCCTATTTCCAAACGAGTTCGCAGAGCAGCAGGTTGTCAACAGGGTTGTATATATTGTTGGCGACGGTCCGTACGTACCTATGCTCATGCGGCGCTGGTCGTGGGGGTGGTGGTGGTGGTGGCGCACGTCGCGCTTGGCGGGCGCCGGCGCCGGCGGCGGTGACTGCGCCACGCACGCCTCCTTGGGGCTGCCCGCGCTGCTGCCATCGCTGCAACAAACACCATGTCTCGTCACAAAAACATTACCTCGCTATCGATGTGCGGTCGATAAACACAATCGGTCAGTATTGTGGGCTGAAACCAGTGGCGGGCCAACGGGGCGGCCCGCTCCGGGCCTCTAGTCCCGAGGGCTTCCAAACACCTCCATGTTTCTCATACACATTCATCTACATCTACACTAACATTATAAAGAGGAAAGAGTTGTATTCTTGTGTGTATGTATGTTTGTAATGAATAAACTCAAAAACTACGTTCGCCCTAAGTAACATAGGCTATATTTATTGCTAGAAAACATTAGGGATCCTTACTAAAACTAGTAACGTAACTCGGGTGTAAAAAAAAATGCTATAAAATATCTTTGGTCGCGTGCGCTGCGGAAACTATTGGTGATAGAACAAAAGTTTCTTCTACAATATTGAAGGAAATATCAATAACTACAGAAAACTTGGCGACACTACATATCCAACTGTTATCGTTATGTCACAATAGCCACTTTTTAAAACGTTGTAACAATGTCCACCCGTGCGAAGCCGGGACGGGCCGCTAGTATTCTATATGTTTATTTAAGTCTAGATAATAGAAATTTCGTTGGCAAGATTTTAACTAAATAAACATAAACACGTATACGAGTACATACATTGCGGACATTATGTTTGTACTTGGAATTATGTATGTACCTGATTTTGGAATATTGCGCCTTTTATTTTATTGTTATTATTATTATTTTCAGACTTTTATAATTACTTTTAATAATACGGTTTATTTATCTGTTCTTTGTATAGCCAACAACCTAATTAATGGGGGGAAGGGATTGTTAGTAATGGAGACTGAGAATCCCATTGCTAGCAATATACCCAACCAGGTCGATCTCCTCGCGATTCCCCCTGGAAACTATCATGGTTAATTCCTGATGAATTCATCATGATGGGCTAACTGGCCTGTTTTCATTCTCATCAAAAAAAAACCTAATAAATGTGGGAGCCAGACTTTATTTTATATATTATATTTTTATTTATATATTATTACCGAATACCGTATATAAAATCATAGAATACCGTAACACAGGGCATCCTAGTACGGATTCTGTCCACTTCCAATGGCGGTCTATAGGGGGGGGGGGGGGGAAGGATTGTTAGTAATAGAGAGGCTAATCCCCATTGCTATCAATATGGTATACCTTATCAGGTCGACCTCCGCGCGGTTCCCCCTGGAAACCGTCGTGACTAATTTATCGTTAAATTCTTCACGATGGGCTAACTGACCTGCCCCTTCACCTTCACCAATCATCCAACACTTGTGGCCCGATAGTGTATACCATATATCCATAAAAAAAGAAAAAAAATGGCGGTCTATATATTTTCGATTTTGTTAAATGTATAAATTAAATGTCATTGTGATACAAATGTGAACTGACTTAAAAGCTTATAAAATTATATCGACTCCTTGAACTGGGGACCTCATTCAGCTTTACCGCCCCGGGTCTCTAACAGGCTTAGTCCTTTACTGGCAGAAGTTTGTAATAAAGATCTAACAGCCCCACTACTAATAATATATCCTATCAGGTCGACCTCCACGCGGTTCCCTTTGAAATTAAATTAAATTTATTGCCTGGAAACCACCTTGGTTTATTTTTGGGGAAATTTGTCACATTGGACTAGTTGACCTGCCTTCATCCTCACCTACCACTCTTCACTGGTGCCCCGTCAGCGTATACCGATTGTGCGGGCGGGGTTACCATTCCATTATCACCCATTAAAAGTCCGTTTCCTGCGCACTTATCACCGGCGCGCCGCACATTATCTCGCAGCGTGAGATAACGCGCGGCGCGGCGCGGCGTGTGCGTGCTGCGTGCGCTGCGCTTGCGCAACCTTCGACATACATACAAATTACCAACTTTCATTTGCTCTTGTTGTTCTATTATGTAAATTTCAGACTCTGCGAGTATATCCTCACTCATATTATGCATTAGCCGCTTCCCGCGGCTTTGTTCGTGTGAATTACTATATATACATAAGGGGGGAAGGAATTGTTAGTAATGGAGTCTAACTGACCCATAGCTAGCAATATACCGGGTCGACCTACACGCGGTTCCCCCTGAAAACCATCGTGATTAATTCTAGTGGAATTCATCACGATGGGCTAACTGACCTGCTTTCATCCTCACCTATCATCCCTCACTGGTGCTCCGCCAGTGTATACCGATAGCGTAGGCGGGGTTACCATTACATTGTCACCCATTTAAAAAAATATATATACATATAAAATCATCATCATAAGTTTTTTTAATGGGTGATAATGGAATTTTAGCCCCGCCTGCGCTATTAGTACACGCTGGTGGGGCACCAGTGAGTGATGAAAGGTAAGGAAAGCCTGTCTTGATAAGTTAGAACATAGCCTATCCGTGTACTAAATATTATTCAAATCCATTAAGCCATCCACGCCGTGTTCACCAGGGGACAGTTAACAGCTAATACGATGATGATGTGATAACATACGTACAATGATTTAAACGCGGCAACATCTTTCAAATTTAGAAATAATAATATAAATAAACTCTCTATTGCGCACAGTAGAGATGTATACAAGGAGCATTTATACAGAATGTGCATATACAAAAGGCGGCCCTATCGCTAAAAGCAATCTCTTAAATCGCTAGTAAAACGTAGCGTTGAGCGACTTTCGAGTGAGCAATCATTCGGATCATTCGAGTGATTTTCAAATGATTTCTAGTTGTTGCATTGGTTTTAAGAGGAATGTCTTAAGGGGGACATTGCTGCCCGAATCTCGACCATTAAGGATTATTAACAAAAAGAAATATTTAGCCAAGATAGCGCAAAAACATAAACAATCTGGCAACACTGCAAAGCAGCATCTAATCATGAAACCCGCTGAAATATGGCGTACATAACACGAGACGTAGTTGCAGCTGCCCTAGAGGAAAACACTCGGCGAGCAACGCAATAAAACGGCTTCACGTCGTGACGTCACCGCGCATGCGAGCTTGGGTGACAACAAAGGCGGGTGACGTCACGCGGCCGCCTCGCCTTTGTTCGCCGAGTGTAGTGCGCTCTCAGGTGACTTCAGTTCGAACGACATCTGGGGGTCTACCGTGAAATAAAAATCCGAAGTTTCGGACTCTATTTCGTGTTTTCGTTCACACCTAAATCGGCCCAGTAAATGGAACTTAACATTTCGTTCGTCATAAATCCTACCATAAAAGTCCAAAGGAATAATATTTTAATATTTTTATTGTTTTTAAACGGTAAGTATTATGTAATTTTAACAATAAACTTGTATTTCGTTCGGCACCGAAATTTCGAAAAACATTTCATGGTAGGCACTCTGATTTCAGAACTTCGTCTTCGAAGAACGAGGTCCTAAACCAGACTGTATTCTTTTTACGTTTGTTACCTCATAACTCCGTTATATATCAACCGATTTAGATAATGCCTTTTCAAAAGAAAAAGCATTTTCTAATTTTTAGTTAAAAATACTGAAAGGATATACTTTCAGTTAATCTGTAGAGATTTCATCAAAATTGATCAAGTACTTTGGTTTTTAAGTCAAAATAACCACAATTTTGTCGCTATTGAAATGCCCTTTTTTTTAAGAAAATCCACTTGTTTGAGTTTCGGAAAGTGAAACAACAACACGGCCAGAAGTGAATCATTCACAGTTAGGATGCTGATTATTTTTAATTAATTATAAAATTAATTTGCCTAAAGATGCCTCATTTAGAAGTGGAACGTATCCCAAAACAAACGTGGACGACGAGGTGGCCTATTCGATGCCGTGTGGCCCGGCATACAACGGGCCATCCCTTCCCTTTTCGTAAGTGTCGTAAGAGACGACTAAGGGTAACTTAATACTAGCAACATTTCCCACACAAAATATCACCAAAGCCTAACTGCGGTTACCAATCCGCCCTCTAAGCGAGGCTCACAAGCGGTATCAAACCCTTAAGTCATAGGAGAGATTTTGCCTCACTCTGCGTGTTCTACCGCTTGTACAACGGATTGTGCTCAGAGGAATTGTTCAATATGATGCCCACAGCCACTTTCTACCATCGTACGGCTCGCCATCGACAGAGAGTTCATCCTCATGTCCTACAGCCTTATTGATCGCGTACTGCGCGGTTACAGAGATGTTTCCTCCCACGAACACTTAGGTTGTGGAATGAGCTCCCTGCCGAGGTTCTCCCAAGAGACTACAGCATGTGGTTCTTCAAAAAGGGGGGTATAGAGGTTTCTTCAGGGTCGGCAACGCGCGCGTTGCATTGCAAGTGTTCATAGGCTACCACTTACCATCAGGTGGGCCGTATGCTTGTTTGCCACCTCAGTGGTATAAAAAAAAAGTACTGGCAAAGCCCCCTTAATCCCTCTTAAGGGGGTTTTGCTATGTGCATCCGTGGACAGTTAATAGCTGATACCAATTCGTAGATTTGTAGAACTTCTGCTAATAATAATAGTCAATCATCGTGTGTTGGCAGTCGCACACATACTAACGATGACGGAATTAAACGAAATAGTTCTACCGTATCGTTATCAACACGAGATATCCGCGATCCATCTCGTACATTATTGGATGTGTGCGCGCGTGTTCACGACGGAAATCACATTTTCAACCGACTTCAAAAAGAAGCAAGTTATCAATTCGGTTGTGTTTTTATTTATGTTGGCCACATTATAGCTACATCTATACTAATATTATAAAGAGGAAAGATTGGTATTTTTGTGTGTTTGTATGTTTATAATAAATAAACTCAAAAACTACTGTGCCTATTTCAAAAATTCTTTCACCATTAGAAAGCTACATTCACCCTGAGTAACATAGGCTGTATTTATTGCTAGAAAAGATTAGGGATCCTTACTAAAACTTTAGTAACGTAACTCGAGGTGTAAAAAAATGCTATAAAATATCTTTGGTCGCGTGCGCTGCGGAAACTATTGGTGATAGAACAAAAGTATGTTCTACAATATTGAAGAAAATA